TTTTACACAGTTTGGATTTGTTTTCTGTCTCATGAGACAGGAAGACCCTGATTAATACCCTCAGGAATTGAAAAGCTTAAAAAAAACTAAGTGATTTTGCTATAATCATAATAATAGAAATTAAACTATGATTATCCTGACAGACAAAATCAGACACCACACACAATATATATCTTTTCAATTAGTTAGTAAAATAAAATATAAATTGAAAAATAGACTCATGCAAAGCTATAAAAAGTTATTTCTTGGAGAAGCGATGGATGACAGACATTAATCTGAGAGTTACTATTAATGGAGAAACTTAGAACTTACCATTTTTCCTGTGAGGTTTCGGTGCTGATACTGATACTCTGTGAGTTCTGGCCGCTGAGTCCGTTTGCACAGCCTGGCGATGCAGCAGGTTCACAGAAGGGCCCTGTCCCAGCTGCTCCTGCTCCACTATGATGGTGCGGCCTCTGCTCTGTGTTGTGAGGGGAGACCAGGCCTTTGATCACAAGCGTATCCATGGTGAGGTTCTGTGGATGGAACCTCATGGATGTTCCTTCCTGATGTTCATCGGCCATCTTGCCATTTAATGCATCTTGTTTATAACTGTCTTCTAAATATTGAATAGAAATAAAGCATTGGTACAATATGGGTAAAATATAAAGAATATCGACACATTGGACACAGAGGACCTCCACCAAGTTTAGGGAATAGAATCTGAAGAGACATAACTTCAGATATTCCCTGGAGGCCCTGCCTGAGTCCCAGTCCCTTCCCTTCTCCTACAGAGGGAATCACTTCCTGCTTTAATCTTTATTGTTCCCGTACTTTTCTTCACAGTATGTTTCTTTCACCGCGTATGTGTACATCCCAAAAAATATGCCATTTAGTTTTTGAACTATTTTCTTTTTGAGGCAGGGTCTTGCTCTGTTGCCTCGGCTGTAGTTTTGAACTTTGATGTGAGGAAATTCTCCTGTGTGGCTGCTCCTACTTCCTGCTGAATCTTTATTGTTCTGTACGCTTCTTTTCTTCATACAGCATGTTTTCACCGCATATGTGTACATTCCAAAAAATACCATTTGAAGCCTTTGAACTTTCTGTTTTCTTTGAGGCAGTGGTCTTGCCTGTTGCCTCGGCATGCTGTAGCTCTTTTCGAACTTTGACAGAGGAAATTCTCCTGTGTGGCTGCTCCTACGCTGCAGCAATAGTTCTGAGCACTGTAAGCCAATGTCCCTGTTAATCCTCCATTCTCCCCTGAGACCTGGGTACTCCACACTTTGATGTGGTTCATTTTCATTGTGTGATCTCCCATCTCCATTCTCCTGAGACTCCACCCACACTGACGTGGGTTCATTTTCATTGTGTGATCTCCCGCTTCCATTCTCTCCTCCCTGAGACTCCACCAGCACTGACGTGGTTCATTTTCACTGTGTGACTCTGATCTCCATTCTCCTGAGACCCCACCCACACTGACATGGCTCATTTTCATTGTGTGATCTCCCATCTCCATTCTCCTGAGACTGCACCCAATAATGACGGGTTCATTTTCATTGCTGCGTGATCTCCGTCACGCCTGAGGGGAGCACGAAATGTTTCATACTTTTCCTGTGGTAGCCAGGTTGGGGCCCTTTAGACTGTGTTTTGCTGTGAATGTCACGGCATTTCAGCACACGTATGCTTTTCTCGGGCTGCAAGCTGCTTGTAAAATTTCATCCCAGGTAAGAAATGTAATTTTCTCATAACCCACAACACACCCCCTTTCATATACAAAGTAACAAAATAAATTTCATAACCATTCTTAGCAGTGCCTGGTGTTCCTGCTACTCTTATCATTTTCCCAACACTGGCATTGATTGAATGTGATTTCTGCCGTCTGGTGGAGAGTGTCACATGATATTCCCCATTGAAGGAGCTCCCTCTTCGTGTTTTCATTAGCCGTTTTTCCACATCTCCTCTTCTCTGTGAGGGCCGGTTCACTTCTTTGCCCTGGGTTTCTGTTAAGTTGTCACAAGAATTTTTGCACTCTCTTCTTTTTTATTATTCCAATTATTATGTTTTTGAGACAGAGTCTCACTCTGTCACCCAGACTGGAGTGCAGTGGCGTGATCTCAGCTCACTGCAACCTCCACCTCCCGGGTTCAAGTGATTCTCCTGCCTCAGCCTCCTGAGTAGCTGGGATTACAGGCCAAACAACACCCAGCTAAGGTATTTTACTAAAGATGGGGTTCCACCATGTTACCAGGCTGGTCTGAAACTCATGACTAGTGATTCTCCTCCTGCCTCAGCCTCCCAAAGTGCTGGGATTACAAGCGTGAGCCACCATGTCCAGCCTGCCTTTTTCTTTTTCAAAAGGACTCTTTATAGATTATACCTATTCATTCCGGTGACTATCTGTGTGGCAAACATGGGTTTGAATCCACCAGGATGAACATGGAGGATCTCCTCTCTGGTGGCAGAAGAGACAGAAAGGGATAGGAGGGGAGGGAGAATCAGAGCCAAGAGGAGGCTGAGTCAGGTGGGTGTTGCAGGCTGCTGTGAGGACTTGGCTGCTTCTCTGAGTCGGGTGGGATTAGCAGGGGATTTAAACAGAGGAACCATGGGATTTCCCCTGTGCATGTCTGCCATTGTTGGCTCAGCTGAACACAACTCTTGAACAAGACTTGGCCTTGGACACCCAGAGGCCCTTGGGTGAGGGTTTACCTCCTGACCTGGCCACTGACACATCCACGTTTGGCGCCCACACGACTGGGCGGCCCCGAGACCTGCTCTGCCTGGGCTTCCCCTTGGTGGCATTTCTCACGTTTGTCCCCTCTCAAGTCTGCCCCATCCAGAAAACCAAACACCTCTCTCTCCTACATGGAAACCCCGTCAGAACCTCCCCGACTCACAGCATCCCGTCAACATCACAGTCCCGACTTTCCCGCACGGACAAGCTCAGAACCTCCCCGACTCACAGCATCCCGTCAACATCACAGTCCCGACTTTCCCACACGGACAAGCTCAGCACCTCCCCGACTCACAGCATCCCGTCAACATCACAGTCCCGACTTTCCCACATGGACAAGCTCAGCACCTCCCCGACTCACGGCATCCCGTCAACATCACAGTCCCGACTTTCCCGCACGGAGAAGCCCATGGGACCCCCTGATGGACCAGGACAGCGTCAGCACTAAGACACGCCCTGAAACTCACAGAAAGAGCGGACCAAGAAGACGGGAACTGCACGGGGCACTGAGAGCTGCAAACACCCAAGATACTGTCAGAGACGGAAAAAGGTATGGCCGTGGCTGACACAAAATGTTACTCAACATTTATCACAGGCCTAAATGGAGAACATAACACTATAAAACCATTAGATAAAACACAGGGGAAAATTTGTATGGCCTGGGGTTAGGTGAAAAGTTCTTAGACATGACACCAAAGGCATGATTCATAGAAGACTGACAAATTAAATTTAGTCATAATTTAAAATTATAATTCTATAAAGCAATATAAAAATCTTAAAAGAATGAAATGCAAACTATGGGCTAGAAAAAAATATTGGTTAATCACACATCTCACAATGTACTGGCACGCAGAATATACGAAGAACCGTCAAAACTTAACCATAAGAAAGTAAAAACCCCAGTATTAAAGAGAAGGCAAATATTTTAATGGAGCCCTCGTCAAGGAAGGTATAAGGAGGGCATATTGCCCGAGAAAGAGGCTCAACATCATAGAGATGCTGGAGAAATGCCAGTCAACAGTACCTCTGCAAATCTATTAAAATGGCTAAAAACAGACAAAAACCACGGGCCAACCCAGCTTCTAGTGACGATGCAGAGGAACCGGGACCCTCATAAGCGGCAGTGGGAATGGGAGGGATCCCGCCATGCTGGAACGTGGTCCGGAGTTTTATTGAGTTAAGCACATCCTTACCACGTCATCCAGCAACCCCACTCCTGAAATTTCCCCCAAGAGAAAACTTAAACGTGCACACACAAACCTGCACTCAAGTGTTTAGGCCTCATTGCTCATTGCCAATAACTGGAAGAAAACAAATTGTCCATCGGCAGGAGAAGGCGTGAACCAACACGGATGCTTCCACACAGGGGGCACCAACCAGCAGTGGAAACATGCACCCAAAATGCCCCAGGTCTCCCAGGCCACATGCCTGGTGAAGAAAGCTAGTTTTGGTGAGCACAGGCCGAAGGATGCCGCCACATGACACTTTGGAGAAAACAGTGCTACCGTGTTGGGAAGCAGGGCAGTGGTTTCGAGGGGCTACGGGTGGAGGGGCAAATGGAGGTGCTCTCTGGGGCGAAGGCTGAGCACCTGCACCTCACCGTGGGCTGCGGCTGAGAGGCTGTACAGCAGACACTGGCTTCAGTACATGCAGACTGAAGGAGGAAGGTGCCCACAAGTCAAAGACAGAGGGTGTCACCTCCATGAAACAAAAACATTTAAAAAAAAAAACTTCTAAAATTAACAAAAAAACACAAAAAGTATTTCTTAAGCACGTTGGACTTTGAGTTGACACAATCTGCCTGGGAGCATGGAACAAACCACCGGCTTGGCGACCCCGGAGGGAGAGGGTGGAGGGTTTAGACCTCAATTGAAGGGCTCAGTACCTGGCTATAGGAAATAACAGATTTCAAAAGCAGCAGGGAGGAAATAATTTCTGCTGATGAGATTGCATTTCCCCAGATAGCTGGCAGAGTAAATTAAAGCAATATTGTAAAACAATGCACATCTTGATGGAATCTCAGGATCACAAGGTTGTGTTGAAAGAGATTTGAACATGTCCAGGAAAGAAGACAAATGAGCTGAATCTTGCAGCTGCCCTGCAATGGGGGCATGGGCCGGGTGGCCGTGATTCTCCGTGACATTGCAGGAATTCTCCTGGTTGGGTCCTCAGGAGCCTTTTCTTCTTGTCCACACTCACCTTTGGGGGTTGGTGTGGGTCCTTGGTAGTCATGACTGCACTCGGGGCTGGGGGCCTGCTGAGGCTGCTCTCCATGTTTCCAAAATGCAGGGGTTTGTTCCAGATCCTACTGCTCAGCACACAGAAAGCCAGTCACTGAGACGATGGTTACTGCCAGTGAAGAAGGCGTGCATCAGGAGCTGCAGGCTAGGAGATGGGAGGTCAGCCTCAAATGCATTTTCCTGACTGACTGTATAGCAGGGAAGAAATGTGACTATGTGTAAGGAAAACAGGAATTAGGGGGAGAGAGGAAGAGGAGTTGGTCAGGAGGAGGCAGGTGGCTGATCAGGCACTCATGATGGGTGAAGGGTTTGGTGTCTCACTGACCAGATGCCGTGATCTGCTGAGTCTCTGTTCCTTCACACTACCCGGGAGGCCTGATGGTCAGTTTCCTGAGAAAGGAACTCAAATAAGACACATGTCACATTCTCAAGTTTCAAGACCACAAGGATCCATTTCTATGTTATTCAGAGAAACCATGAACATCAGTTCTCTGGGACAATCAGGTCAGTTCAACACCAGACCCGATCTGCCATGACGCCTGCTGCTCAGCCCTCAGATAAAGTCCAGAATCCAGTGTCCTCTCTCCAACCCCAGCCTGGTCCCACACCCAGACCTCCCCGCTACGCCCTGGGCCTCACTGCTGTCCCACCGCAGAGGGGTCAGGGAGCTGCACACACCCCGCGTGCACCTGGGCATGTCGCATATTTCAGATGCACCTGGTGTCACTGTTCACACAAACCGGAGTGGGAAGAGATCCAAATGCTCGTTCACGGCAGATGGGTGAGGACGTCCCAGCAAGTCCGTCAGGGGAGTCAGCCAGCCCAAGGCGAGTGAGGGACCTCCGGAGACATGAATGGGTCTCAGACAGTGTGTGAGTGGACGAAGCAGCAAAAACACACACTGCTAGTTCAGTCAGTTCTGTTGAGCTCAGAATAGTCCACATCACGTTGATGTTTCTAACCTGGGGCGCACATTCTTCATTCAGAATATGGCAAGGACTTTAGAAGTCATCTAAAGTATCAATAATTTGAAGTCCTTTAATACAAAAAGTATAGAATATTACCTTTGTCACATAGCAACAGGGAAATGAAAAAAGAAAATTGACTTATGTTCTTTAATGGCTAGGAAAATGTTCTTAAAAAGGTATTTCAAGCACAGGTGAATCTAAGAAATGACCAATTTCTTTCTTTACATAGATAAATATAAGGTTCGATCCCTGTAAATAAATGAAGCCATTAAGGGTAGAGTCCCACAGATCACAGAACTGACCCAGCATCCAGCTCTGCTCACGATTTCAGGGAGTAATTTCCAGGCACAGGTCGAGCTGGAGAAGCTGGGGACCCTTGTGGCCCCACTGTCCTTCCTGCCTCACAGGGTCTCTGAGGGGTGCCTGGAACATTTCCTCTTGGGCTTTGAAGATCATTTCACTGAAACGCGACATTTTCCAGGTGCCATGGGCCTGAGCCCAGAAACTTCACCTGCGACAGTGGCTCCCCAGGAGTGAGCACCAGGCACTGTCAGGGGTTCTCTCCCAGCACTTTTACAAGGACTTGATGGGTTCTTCTTCCTTCAGGAGCAATCCCAGTGGGCAGAGGGAGGGGACGGGAGGCCTGGCAAATGCTCCTCCCCAGCTCTGTTCCGAGCTCCATGGGGCTCTGGCAGGCCTGACATCTCGTGCAGATGAGGGATTAGGGTTCCTCCCCTGCCTCACTGCTCTCAGGCCCTCATGGCACCCTCCCCACCCCCGCAGCCGGCGGACCCTGCTCCCACCCAGCTGTTCTCAGGACTCTCATCCTTCCAGGACGACACCCTACCTGGAGCACCCGTTCCTGTGGCGCCCCCAGTCCTGCACTGCAGCATTCACCCTGTCACCTCCATGGCGAGACCATCCTGGAACCGTGATCAGCCCATCGGTGTCATCCACTGTCCTCCTAGCCCATTTTCTGTGCTTGTTCCTCATTCCCAAAACATCCTGAAATTACAAGAAATTAACTTTTTTCAAGTCTCTGTGCTTCTGAGGTGGGTTTGGCTTAATTAACACTGATGTATTTTTAAGGGGCATTTTTAAAGCTGTACTTTAAGAAATATTTCTTACATTCTTTTGAAGTTTTTTTTTTTTTCTTTAAGACGGAGTCTCACTCTGTCTCCCAGGCTGGAGTGCAATGGCATGATCTTGGCTCCCTGCAACCTCCACCTCCCAGGTTCAAGCGATTCTCCTGCCTCAGCCTCCTGAGTAGCTGGGAATTACAGGTGCACGCCACCATGCCCAGCTAATTTTTGTATTTTTAGTGGAGACGGGGTTTCACCATGTTGGTCAGGCTAGTCTCGAACTCCTGACCTCATGATTCATCTGTCTTGGCCTCCCAAAGTGCTGGGATTACAGGTGTGAGCCACCATGCCTGGCTGTTTTGTTTTTGTTTTTGTTTGTTTGTTTGTTTTAATCAAATACAGTTGAGGCTCTATTGGAGTCCCACATTAAAAAGAACTGAGACAAATCAGACCTCAGAGGCAGGACAGTGCCCTGTGAAGCACATGTCCAGTCCCATCACTGTCCTTCCCTCACGTGGGCCCAGGGATGTGGGTGATGGTATTTGTTGCCCCGGTGATGGAGCAGATTTGATCTGCCAGTGTGGGAAGGGGTTAACTCAACAGGCCTGGATTGATCAGACCCTGCACATTCCCAGGAAGGGCCCTTGGCTGGCTCCTGGGAACTGAGCTTTTGCAGTGTTCTGACTGATGAGAGAGACTTGAGCCATGTTGCACTACTTTGCCTGGGTAGTAATTGACCAACAAGGTGATGGATGGCAAACACCTGCTTTCCCTGTGGGTGGCTGGAACTTCCCTGACTGACCCCCAGGTTCAGGAGAGCCTCCCTGGTCCGCACCACAGCACTAGCTGTCCCAGCTCCTTGCTGGAGGAATCCGGTGCACCCTGTGTGACTCCGCTGGGAGGGCTCTGGAAGCGCCTGGCTTCCCCAGCAGCCCTTTCCCTTGGCTGGTTTAGTCTGTACCCTTTCAAGTTGGAGGGTGGTCTCAGGGACCCCCATGCAGTCTTTCATGCTTGCTTTCGCCAGAAACTCACCTTGGCAGGGCTTCAGGGGAAGGGTTGGGATTTGGTGACAAATGACTCCATGGCCTGGGGCCAAGCACAGCATCTACTTAGGTTTTCAGGCGGATGCCCAGGTATGTCTAGCACCTAATGTAACTGAGGCATGAAATGTCTGTGCGCCATGATGCTTCAGCTTGTTACGGGCAGTTAGGCCTTGTGGTTCTCTCTTGGTTTCTGTGGAGAAGCCAGACCCTGCTGTGGTTGGCAAGGAAGGTGAGTGGAGATAGCAGGAGTGTCCATCCCTCAGGAGCCCTTTCTAGTGGAGCGGCTGCCTCTCTCTGATCCTTGATTCATCCCAGGGCAACCTCTGCTCTCCTGGGCAGTTCTTAGAATACTCCAGAAGACCCCAGTACAGCTGTCCGGTTCCTCCTGGACCCCAGCTCTCAGGAGTGCACCATCTCTGCACACTGCATGTGCGCCCATCCAGACGGCACCTGAGCTTCCCCATGCCTGCGCTGCAGGGTTAACATCTTGCTTGTGTTTTAACCTGTGTTGCTTTGGTTTAAAACTTGTTTGGCCGTGTTATTTGCTGAGATGGCCCAGAGAAGCTTCTACTTATGATCAGGACACCTCACAGTGCAGCCTTCACTTGAGGACTTAGGTCTCATCCAGGTCCACACAGTCCAGGGCCACGGACGCAGAAGACAGAGGATTGATTGCCCAGGAGGCTTCCAGGGCTTTGGCTCCTGGGGCTTCTTGTCAGCGCTGGGTCAGAGCAGGTCACCCTTGTGTGCAGATACTAGGTTCCTGTACACAGCAGTGAAGAATGGGGGAAGACCAGATGGATTTCGGTGAGGCAGGGATGCTCCTTGGTGTTTAGAGTTTTCCTCTTTCTTTGCCTTGTTGGTTCTCTGTAGTTTATCTTTGTTTTTTGTAATACTAGTTTCCAGTAATTCTGACCTTTCCGAAAACCTCTCTCTATATATGCCTGCCTACTCTCCCTCCAGCTACCTGTAAAGCCTACCGAAACGTATTCCTGCAGATTTTCACTCTATTCAGCTTAACAGATGCTCGTGGAGTGTTGCTGTGTGTGTGCCATGGGTTCAGGGTTCAGGTGCACCTGCCTTTGTGGGAAGAGCACAGCTTCCCTGCATAACAGCTGGAGGGTGGGATCTTCCCAAGGGGAAGTTGGGAGGTGCTCAGGCAGAGTAAATGGATTTAACTTCTGGGCTGGGAGAACATGGTACCCCCGTGGAAGGCTCCCTGAGGAAGGAAAGGAAGGAGCTGGAGGGAGGGTATGTGCGTCTTAGGAGGGGATGCACTTCAGGTGAGAGTAGGCGGGCATGGCACTAGGAGCCCCATGAGCCCAGAGTGATGACTCGTAGAGGCCTAAGGGACCGTGCCAGCAGACCCCACCACCTGTGCTCCACCGGGAGCCTGACATTGTTCTCTGAGATCAGGGGCTGTCTCTGTGTGCTGCCCCGGACTGTGGCAATTTTGTGTATAGAAAAAACAACTGTGTGTCTAATACAGATGGGGTATGAGGAGAGCCACTGGTCTTTCCTGACATTAACAATATGTTTTTAGTTGATTTTCAGTGAGTATGGAAGTTATTGAAGGTACAGATCACTCTGAAAATAGGCTCTTGTGTGTGAAGGTCATCAGTGAATCTTCACCCTCATAGTTGGTAAATGGTTGTGAGCCCTCAAGGGTATCAGATTCTACAGTGAATCCGAGGATAGCACAGCCTTCCTATTCAGTTTCAGGGAAAATCATATAAAGCCCAGACCGTAATTTGTCAGGAATGTTTGCAGTGTGGTGATAGATGTCTTCACCGTGCTTTGGGATGATTGCTGAGGGAGAACGGAAGGAGGGGTCTGGTACTTGCACCTTTCGGTAGAATTAGTGTGAATGCCACACCGAGCTGTGCTCAGGTGTCTGCCAGCAGTGGTGGCCTTGACGATGGATTTTCTGAAATGGGAATTTGTGAAGTTCTCTAACAAAAGTAAGTGCGAACTTCTTAACTTGGCTGGTGGCTGCATCCTTGAAAAATTCCGTGTGTAAAATGATACAGAACCATTTCTCGGTTATCTGTTAAATAAGAGTACGCGTCCAGCCATGACGACTGTGGACGGCCATGGAGGTCTGGCAGGCCACGGAGGACTCCCATACTCAGCAGGGTGTGACCCCACCAGACAGTGCTTTGGCTCCTCCCAGGAGTCATGGCAGCTGACACGTCACCTGGAGTGTCTAGAAAACCGCTACCCCAGATCCCCTACTGCCTTTCCCGGGGCCTCCAGCTATAGATCAGGAACTCAGTGTCCCAGAAAGATTTTCCTTTTACTTTAACTCCTGTTGTTTTCAGGCACGTGGACTCCCTTTAATCCAGTGACTGTCAGGTCGATCATATGTAAATATCAGCAGATGGACACGCCTGGGCTTCTTTGTATCCGACCCGCTTGGGTACCCGCTGTGTTTCCTTTGTCTGTGGGTCTGTATCACTTTCCTCCCTTCTGGAATTCCGCTTAGATGAGCGTAGGCCCTTTCATCCCTCTCCCCCCGTCTCTGTACCTTTTCATGTCTCTCCGTGTCTGTTTGCTTTATTCTTTATTCTGATTATTGTTAATGTACTGTTTGTTTAACCTGTCCTTTCAGTTTCTAATTCTAAAGATGACATATATTTAAAATTTCTAAATTATTAGTTACTTTTACATCTTATCTGGGTGTTTCTGATAGACATTGCTTATTTATTTTTGTGATTCCATCCTTTATTTATTCAAATTTTTTTTTTTTTTTGAGATGGAGTCTCGCTCTGTCTCCCAGGCTGGAGTGCGGTGGCCTGATCTCAGCTCACTACAACCTCCGCCTCCCGGGTTCAAGCAATTCTCCTGCCTCAGCCTCCTGAGTAGCTGGGACTACAGGCGTCTGCCACCACTCCTGGCTAATTTTTGTATTTTTAGTAGAGATAGGGTTTCACCATATTGGCCAGGCTGGTCTCAAAATCCTGACCTTGTGATCCACCTGCCTCAGCCTCCCAAAGTGCTGGGATTACAGGCTTGAGCCACCACGCCCAGCCGTATTCAAATATTTCATATGATAGTCTTCAGTTTTAAGAACATGTTTTTATTGAAAAGTGCTAGATATTTGTGACGTGGAGCTACCTGACAGTGTGTTTGAAGTCCTTGGGAGGGTGGTCTACAGCCGATTGTTTCTCCTGCTCAAGCCCACACAGAGTAACCAACTTCCTTGATGTTTCTGTAATTGTTTGTTTTATGGGTTCATGTGTAGCCTTAATGTGAGGGTCTGCATCATTTCTTTGGGTCCAGGGTCTCCCCAGCTGTACAGGTAGCCGGGTTTTTGCTTGTTTCTTTTAAGAGACAGGGTCTCCCTGTGTTGCCCAGGCCTGGTCTGGAATTCCTGGGCTCAAGCAATCGTCCTGCCTCAGCCTCCCAAAGAGTGGGGATTACAGGTTTGCACCCCCATGCCCAGACGGTAGCTGGGGTGGGAGCTGCAGCTCCAGGGGCAGGCAGGTATTCAGGAGAGTCGTGCTGTGTCTCCATCCCCCGTAGCCGGGTGGGAGCTGCAGCTCCAGGGGCAGGCAGGCTTGGGATGCAGGTGTTCAGGGGAGTCGTGTTTCCATCCCCGCCCCACTTGATTTCTGGAAGGTTTCCTTTGCTGGGAGGTGCGGCCCCCTTCACTCCTCTTTAATATGGAATCCCAGGTTCAGTTCTGCCTCACAGGAACCACAGCAATGTGTCTCGAGGTTTCCCAGGGCGGCCTGGGGCTTCTTCCCTCACCTTCCGTCCATGTGGGTGTTTTAGTCTTGTGAGGATTCCCTGAGTTCCCTGAGGAGCCCGTGTGTGGTAAAGTGTCTGAGTTGATGATTTAAAAAAAATCTGTGCCGTATTTGTGCAATAAAATACACAATGAATAACTAATGCTCATAGAAAAACATGTTAGATGTTGTGAAAGGAAAATCAACCTTGGGGACCCAAAATCACTAAGCTAAAGGGAAAAGTCAAGCTGGGGCTGCTGAGGGCAAACCCGCCTCCCATTCTGTCCAAAGTCACCCGTCTGCTCACCGAGAGAAATGCGTATCTGAGTGCCTCATCAGGAGAGGGTAACCGGCAACTCAAAAGAATGAAACCGTTTGTCTCTTACCTGCCTATGACCTGGAAGTCCCCTGTCTGACCTTCTCTTCAAGTTGTCTCACCTTTCTGGGCTGACTGAACCAATGTACATCTTACACATATTGATCGATGTCTCATGCCTCCCTAAAGTGTGTAAAAGCAAGCTGGGCCCCGACCACCTTGGGCCCGTGTTGTCAGGACCTCCTGTGGAGGCATCATGGGCGCATCCTTAAACTGGCAAAATGAACTTTCTAAAAAAATCTGAGACCTGTCTCAGATTCATTTCTCTCAGTGAGCAGTGAACTCAACCAGTCCCTTTCAGCTCTAAGACTATGTGTTTTCTAGGTCAGGAGAGGAAACGGGAGGTACAGGAACGCTAGAGGGGAGAAAGCATGGAGAGATGGGAAAAGCACAGAGAGAGAGATGGGGAAAGGGGAATCAGGAAGACCGAGAGGAGAGAGATGGGGAAAGGGGAATCAGGAAGACTGAGAGAAAAGGGGGGAAAGCAGAATGACAGAGGAGGTGTGAAGAGAGAGAAGCCCACTGGAGCGCTGAAATACTGAATAGTCTCCTAGGGGAGCTACTCAGGGTAAGAATTTCTCCAGGGACTGCTCTTTCAGGCAAGCACAATTACACACATTTCTATGTTATGTTAAGTAAAAATCTAGTAAATGGCCTGGGCACAGTGGCTCACACCTGTAATCCCAGCACTTTGGGAGGCTGAGGTGGGCAGATCACGAGGTCAGGAGATGAAGACAATCCTGGCCAACATGGTGAAAACCCATCTCTACTAAAAATACAAAAAATAGCCAGGCGTGGTGGTGGGTGCCTGTAATCCCAGCTACTCAGGAGGCTGACGCAGGAGAATCACTTGAACCAGGGAGTCGGAGGTTGCAGTGAGCCGAGATTGCGCCACTGCACTCCAACCTGGCGACAGAACAAGGCTCCATCTCAAAACAAACAAACAAACAAAAAAAATCTAGTAAATGAAATAAGTGATCACGACAAAACTGGCTTCTCATCAATAAATCAATCAATGGCGCTTACAAAGTATTCATACGTCTGCCTCTTCTTCTAGACTACACTAGGGGCTGGTTAATGCTCCTGTGTGCAACAGAACCTCAAACACATCATAACACACCTTTGGAGAATCATTACAAGAATGCCAAGTTAACAATTATCTCTCACCACACTACCTCAGCAAAAAACCAAAAAGAAAAAATAAAATATTCTTCAACCCTTTTCAGGGACAGAAAGCATCATTTCAAAAGTCCAAGAAGGGGAGGTAAGAATTTCAAAAGTGAAAGTTATCATGAAAGGCTATAAAAGCTAGAGATGGGTCTGAAAAACAAATGGAAAATGAGTCACTTCAGGGCCTCTCCCAGCCTCAAAGCCAATTAATTATTACATTAGTAAGAGTAATTTTTAACTTTCTAATCCACTCACCCTAGCCACAGGCAACAGTAGCCTCTCCAAGTGTTGTGGGTTTTTTTCCAAGCCTGCAGGCAAGTGAGCTTTTCACATGGCAGCCCCTTAGCATTGGATGTGGACCTGCCCTGTCTTTCACCAAGAAGCAAGCACTGTGCAGATCACTGAGTCATAAAAACCACCTGCTCTTACCAGCCTCCTCTTCCTCTATAGCAAAACTTCTAACCTGAGACACGGAAGCATGTAGAGGACTACGTGCTGTCCTGCTCTTGCAAACGAAGCAGGGCGTTCCTTCCCTGTAAACAGGGAGGACAAAGGAGCCAGCTGCAAACAGCAGACCCTGGGGGCTTGTTTATGTGTAAACATCTTGAAAATCCAGAAAGTCAGGGAAAGGTCAGAAAAACAACAATGTGTCTTGTAACTTGGCAACATTCCACAAACTGTATAAAATAAAGCAGAGCCCGCCATTCGAGGCGGCCGCCATGTTTGTCTTGTCTTGTGTTGTCTTGTGTGTTCATTCCTTTGTTTAGGAAACACGGGGACCCCAACAGAAGCAGATAAAAAGCCTCTATGTAAAATGTATCACTACAGCTAGAGGGCAGTTTTGCCTTTCTTCCATTCAATTACTCAGTCTCTCATGTTCCTAAGTGCCAGCCCAGAACCATGGAACCTGAAGAAACACAAAACGCACTCCTCTGCATCAGTGAATTGATTGTGTGGTGGGGATATAAGTCTGCATGTGACTGACAGGTCCCCAACGTGATGCCAAGTCAATCTAAACTAGAGAGAATTTCTGGCCAGGCCAAGCAGAGATTTCCTGGATGAAGTCTCCCAAAGATTGATTTCCTAAACATTAAACATCACTGGTTTTCCAAAACTGGTTTTCTTTTTTTTTTTTTAAACCCTGTTGCCCAGGCTGGAGGGCAAGTAGTGCCATCTCCATTCACTGCAGCCTCGACCTCCCAGCTCCACTGATCTCCCCACCTCAGCCTCCTGAGGAGCTGGGACTACAGGTGTGCATGGCCACGACTGGCTAATTTTTCTACTTTTTGTAGAGACGGGGTTTTGCTGTGTTACTCATGCTGGTCATGCGATCTGCCCACCTGGGCCTCGCAGAGTGCTGGGATTACAGATGTGAGCCACCACACCCAGCCCACTGGTTTCCTTTACACCTATTCTTTTCCCCCATCAGTCCTTATGAAAGCACCTGAAACAAGGAACCGCCCCCCTGACTTGAGAGCTGCAAAGCCTTGAGAGGGAACTTAGTTATTAAAACCCACCCCACACAAAATGCTTCGAAACGCATTGGCTGACTTAATCCTCGCAATGTGCTGAGGTTAAGCATGATTCTCCATCTCCTGTGAACAGGAAAACTGAGGTTCAGAGGTTAAGTGATTTGCCCACGGTTCACTGCATGGGATAAAACTCGGCTGTCCCTGACAGGTCCCAAAGTCACGGCCTTCAGGCTCCCACATCATGCTGCCTCCCTCACCGGGGCTCCACACTTTCAGCCTGGAAAACATGAATTTTAAGAAAACCATGACTTACGAAAAGCAGCCAGTCCCAGCTTTGGACCCAACAGGGCATAATTCCATCTGCTTCCATCACCACCATCCGCCCTGGAATTAGGCCGGATATTCCAGTTTGGGGGATCATTTAGGTTATTCATGGAGATATACCTTGAAGTAAAGAATAAAAACGTTAACTAGTTTTATTCAAGAAATGTTTTTCAGTTTTAACTATGTGCTGCACAGCACTGAGGCCCTACGGGATTCAAAGAAGGAAAAAACAAGACCAGGGTCGGGCGTGGTGGCACACACCTGTAGTCCCAGCTACTCGGGAGGCTGAGGCAGGAGAATCGCTTGAACCCGGGAGGTGGAGGTTGCAGTGAGCCAAGGTCACACCACTGCACTCCAGCCTGGCGACAGAACGAGACTCCGTCTCAAAAACAAACAAACAAACAAACCAAGAACTTAGGTGAAAGTGACTCACAATCTGGTTGGGGAAAGTGGAGAAAACAGACATGTCTTAAGCATCTGAAGTGCAGGTAGAATCAGGTAAGTTCTCTAGTACAAATATGTTTAAATGTATGGCTGCTGCGATGGTTGATTTTGTATGTCAACTTGACGTACCAGGAGGTGCTCAGATACATGGTTAAGCATTATTTCTGGGTGTGTCTCTAAGGGAGTTTTTGGATGAGATTAGCATTTGAACCTTTAAACCAATTTCTTACATCTCTCCCCTCTATTGGTT